AAGTCACATCTCTGCTATCCTGGAGGGACCAGGAGGGAGGACAGATGCTTAAGAGTCACTCCTGCTGTGCTGGAGGACAGAGGAGGGAGGACAGTGCATGGTCCCTCCTGTGCTGGGAGGACAGGAGGAGGACAGATGTAGAGTCCTCTGCTGTGCTGGAGGGACAGGGAGGAGGACCAGGATGTAGAGTCCTCCTGCTGTACTGGAGGGGATGAGGAGGAGGACAGATGCTTGGGGTCCCTCCTGCTGTACTGGAGGACAAGGAGGAGGACAGATGGCAGGCTCACTCCTGCTGTGCTGGAGGACAGAGGGAGGACAGATGCATAAGTCACTCCTGCTGCTGGAGGACAAGGAGGAGGACAGATGTAAGTCACTCCTGCTGTGCTGGAGGGGACAAGGAGGAGGACAGATGCCAGTCACCCTGCTGTAATGGAGGGGGACAAGGGGAGGGAGGGACGAGATGGTTGAGTCACTCCTGCTGTACTGGAGGACATGGGAGGGAGGACAGATGTAGGAGTCTGGCTGCTGTGCTGGAGGACAGGAGGAGGGGACAGATGTGAGTCCTCCTGCTGTGCTGGAGGACAGGAGGAGGACAGATGCTTAGAGTCACTCCTGCTGTGCTGGAGGACAGGAGGAGGACAGATGTAAGTCCTCCTGCTGTGCTGGAGGACAGGAGGAGGACAGATGCAAAGTCGCACTCCTGCTGTGCTGTGGAGGGACAGGAGGGAGGACAGATGCTAAGAGTCTCCTGCTGTACTGGAGGACAGGAGGAGGACAAGATGTAAGTCACTTCTGCTGTACTGGAGGACAAGGAGGAGGACAGATGCTTAGAGTCCACTCCTGCTGTACTGGAGGACAGGGAGAGGACAGATGTAAGTCACTTCTGCTGGAGGGACAAGGAGGTGGACAGATGCTTGAGGTCCCTCCTGCTGTGCTGGAGGACAAGGAGGAGGACAGATGCTAAAGTCACTCCTGCTGTGCTGGGACAGGAGGAGGACAGTGCTTCAAGTCACTCCTGCTGTGCTGGAGGACAGGAGGGAGGGACAGATGCTTAAGTCCTTCTGCTGTGCTGGAGGACAGGAGGATCTAAACTCACTCCTGTGCTGGAGGAGGACAGGAGGAGGACAGATGTAAGTCACTCCTGCTGTGCTGGAGGACAAGGAGGAGGACAGATGTAGAGTCACTTCTGCTGTACTGGAGGACAGGAGGAGACAGATGTAAAGTCACTCTGGCTTTGTACTGGGACAAGGAGGAGGACAGATGTTTAAGTCACTTCTGCTGTACTGGAGGAGAAGGAGGAGGACAGGGCTCACTAAAGTCACTCCTAACAGCACTGGAGGACAAGGAGGAGGACAGATGCTTAAAGATCACTCCTGCTGTGCTGGAGGACAGGAGGAGGACCAGATGCTTAAGAGTCACTTCTGCTGTACTGGAGGACAAGGGAGGAGGACAGATGCTTAAAGTCACTCCTGCTGTACTGGAGGACAAGGAGGAGGACAGATGGCAAAGTCACTCCTGCTGTGCTGGAGGGACAAGGAGGAGGACAGATGCTAAGAATCACTCCTGCTGTGCTGGAGGACAAGGAGGGAGGACAGATGCCATCCCCACTTTCCTGCTGTGCTGGAGGACAGGAGGAGGACAGATGTAGAATCCTCCTGCTGTACTGGAGGGACAAGGAGGAGGACAGATAGCAAGTCATCCCTGCTGTACTGGAGGACAAGGAGGAGGACAGATGCTCAAGTCACCCTGCTGTACTGGAGGACAAGGAGGAGGACAGATGCTTAAGTCACTCCTGTGTACTTTGGAGGACAAGAGGGACGACAGATGCGCCAAATCACTCCTGCTGTACTGGAGGGACAAGGAGGAGGACAGATGTTTAAAGTCACTCCTGCTGTACTGGAGGGACAAGGAGGAAGACAGATGCTTAAGTCACTCACCTGCTATGCTGGAGGACAAGGAGGGAGGACAGATCAGCAAGTCATCCTGCTGTGCTGGAGGACAGGAGGGGGGAGGGACAGATGGCAAGAAGTCACCCCTGCTGTACTGGAGGAGGACAAGGAGGGAGGACAGATGCTTGGTGCATCCTCTGCTGTACTGGAGGGACAAGGAGGAGGACAGATGTAGAAGTCACCCCTGCTGTACTGTGGAGGGACAGGAGGTGGACGAATCTTAGTCACCCCTGCTGTACTGGAGGACAAGGAGGAGGACAGATGCTTAAGCACCCTGCTGTACTGTGGAGGACAAGGAGGACAGATGGCAAGTCACCCTGCTGTGCTGGAGTTCAGGAGGAGGACAGATGCTTAATTCACTCCTGCTGCACTGGAGGACAAGGAGGAGGACAGATGCTTAAGTCGTCCCTGCTGTACTGGAGGACAAGAGGAGGAGGACAGATGTAGAATCTGCCCTGCTGTGCTGGGAGGGACAGGAGGAGGGAGGACAGATGTAAGTCACCCTGCTGCTGTGCTGTGGAGGACCAAAGGAGGAGGACAGATGTAGAGTCATCCCTGCTGTGCCTGTGGAGGAGACAAGGAGGGAGGGACAGATGCTTAAGTCACCCTGCTGTACTGGAGGACAAGGAGGAGGACAGATGCTTAAGTCACTCCTGCTGTGCTGGAGGACAAGGAGGAGGACAGATGCTTCAAGTCCCTCCTGCTGTGCTGGGGACAAGGAGGGAGGACAGATCTTAAGTCACCCCTGCTGTGCTGGAGGACAAGAGGGAGGACAGATGCTTAGAAGTCACTCATAACATGCTGGAGGACAAGGAGGAGGACAGATGTAGATCACTCCTGCTGTGCTGGAGGGACAAGGAGGAGGACAGATGCTTAAGTCATCCTGCTGTACTGGGAGGGACAGGATGAGGGACAGATGGCAGTCTGCCCCTGCTGTACTGGAGGACAAGGGAGGAGGACAGATGCTTAAGTCATCCACCTCTGCTGTGCTGGAGGGACAGGACAAGGACGGATGTAGAGTCACCCCTGCTGTACTGGAGGGCAGGGAGGACAGATGCCAAGTCACTCCTGCTGTACTGGAGGGACAAGGAGGAGGGACAGATGTAAGTCACTCCTGCTGTGCTGGAGGACAGGAGGAGGGACAGATGTAAGTCATCCTGCTGTGCTGGAGGACAGGAGGTGGACAGATCGCCCAAGTCACCCCTGCTGTACTGGAGGTTGGGGAGGAGGACAGCAGATGCTTAAGTCACTCCTGCTGTACTGGAGGACA